TCATGACATTAGAATTGATCCCAGGGTCTGCCCCACCCTTGCAGACTTGGCCCCTGGGTCATAACTTTGAAACGGTTGAGATCCCCACCCCAAAACTATATATACAAATGCTTGGCAAAAAGAGACAAATGCAGTCACGATATTAGAATCGATCCTGGGGTCTGGCCACAACTCTAGGGACCTAGTTTCTGAGTCAAAGCTTGGAAACAGTTGAGATCCCCACCCCATAACCATACATAAAATTTCTGGGCATGAAAAATCTAATATAGCTATGCTACAAGGATTGGCCTTAGGGTCTGGCATATTCCCTTGATCTCATTTGGAGAATAGTTTGCCATGATTGCTTAGGTATCCAGGTGAGCGATACAGGCCCTGTGTGCCTCTTGTTATACATCCAGCTTCTTCCAGATAACTAGAGTATTATACAACCAGCTTCTTTCAGATAACTAGATTATTATGCATTCAGCTTCTTTCAGATAACTAGATTATTATACATCCAGCTTCTTTCAGATAACTAGAGTATTATACATCTAGCTTCTTTCAGATAACTAGAGTATTCTAATCCTTTGATCAATAACAAGTGAATACCCCGAGTGGCAGCAAAGCTGTAAAACTAGGGCGAAATAGGAAACAAATTAGACCAAGCGTTCAAGGGTGAACATCTTGCTTCATCGACAACACCTGCCACGTAAATCTAGGTCAAATCCAGGTAATGTCACGTCCTCGCAATGATAACTCGGATGATTAAAAAAATATAAAGTCACACTTATGACCAATAACATCGATGTTCATATGACTGTGATTCACAAAGAAAAAATATATCCTATGAGATCATGATGGTACCCATGAAACTTGTTCTTATTCTTCATCAACCTGTATCTAGGGAAACCGTGTGCTGTTTGTCAGCAGTCAACATCTGTCCTGTAAAGCACAAACCAAACAAACAACCAACCAGAATGCAACTTGCTAAATATCACCACCCTGTACCTTTTGTTTATTGAGAAGATGACGTTTAAAGATTTATGCATAATTGACCAGATGTGACCTTGAAAGTGTGTCGAGGTCATTCACATGAACAAAAATAACCCTGGACGTTTGGTTAATCAGAAGAAGTCGTTTAAAATGTCAACATATTTTACCCCTGTGACCTTGAATATGGTAAAAAGTAATTAATTTGAACAAACTTTGTAAATCTTCATCCCAACATACTTCTACCCGAATATAATCACCCTAGACATTTGGTTATACAGAAGAAGTTGTTTGAAGTTTTTAGACAATTGACCCAAGTGACCTTTAATGTGGGCGAAGATTATCTATTTGAAACAAGAGGCCCAATGGGCCTGAATCGCTCGCCTAGTATTAATCTCAAACTTAATCTTAAAAGTGGACTAAAATACAGCTACAGGCAAAATATCAGTGTTTGATTCAAAATAATCTATTAAAAGATTTAAACATGTGACCTTGAGTTTTAGTCAAGGTCATTCATTTGAACAAACTTTGTAGCCCTTCATCCCAGCATGCTACAGGCCAAAAATACCATCACCCTAGGCCTATTGGTTATTCAGAAGAAAAGTAAAAAGTAGACGACGGACGCTGCACCACGACATTTAAGCTCACCTTACCCAAAGAAAAAAAACTTAAATTCCTCAGTGCAATATTGCATTAAATATTTTCAAAAATGGCAGGCGCATTTTTAAAGCCCATCAGTAAACATGATTGTAATTTATTCTGGAACATTATTTATAAAATGCACAACTAAAGCCGCAATGAAAGTCAAAGAATGATAGCATTCCTGGTTGATTATATTTATTTATTTGGCAATGTCATTTGCACGATCCCTTCACGACGTTGCGTGGGATTTCATGAATGCCCAGTTCACCCACAGAATGCATGCGTCTTCAGGTTCAACAAGCCCCCTAAAAGATTCTGAAGTCATCCTGAGCTTAAGCCTCTGATAAGTCATATTCAAATACCTCAATTAACAAGAGGCCCAGAAGGCCTGTATGGCTCACCTGTATCTTTATGCCCAGCAAAGGTATATATGGCTATGGGTTCACAGGATCTCAACCATTTCAAAGTTATAGCCCAGAAATTAAGGCCCCAAGGCCCCACAATAGGCAATACTAATATCATAACTGTGTTCGTCTCTTGTTGCCTAGCAATGGTATACATGGTAATGGGGTGGGGATCTCAACCGTTTCAAAGTTATAACCCAATACGTAAGTCCCTAGATCTAGAGGTGGAACCCGACCCCAGGGTCAATTATTAAATATGACAGTGTTTATATCTTTATGCCTGTCAAATCTATATATGGTTGTGGGGTTGGGTTCTTAACATTTTCAAAGCCATGGCCCAAAAAGAAAGTCCCTGGGGGTAAGGCCAGACCCAAGATTCAATATTAATATCATGATTGGGTTCGTCTCTTGATGTGCAGCAATGGTATATATGGTTGTGGGGTGGGAATCTCAACAGTTTAAAAGTCATGTCTCATGAATGAAGTTCCAAGGGGTGGGGGCCATACCAATCGGTAAATTATATCATCATGACTGTATTAATCTCATTATGGCTACCAGATGTATATACGGTTATGGGGTGGGGATCTCAACTGTTTAAAAGTTATGGCTCAGGAATTAAGTCTCTATTGGTGGGGCCGTTTCAAAGTTATGGCTTAGAAATCAAGTCCCTAGGGGTGGGGCCAAACTCCAGCGTCCATTCTTATATCATGATTGTGTTTGTCTCTTGATGCTCAGCCATTGTTTACTTGGTTATAAGGGTGGGGATCTCGATAATGTCCTAGTTAACATTTCTTTGGTCCCTCCCCTCAGACCCAAGGGTCAGCTGGGTCAATTTTGAATCCTGAACCACCGAAGAATGTTCCCAATCAAATATGGATGATATTCGTCACTTTGTTCCAGAGAAAAAGTCGCTTTAAGCAATATGACAAAATAACCCATTTTGGCCCCACCTCTCAGCCATGAGAAGAGCCACATCCTCCTTTCATACATAAGGGAATTCCTCTTGCCAAAGGATATTCTAGACAAAATTTGGTTAAAACACCTCTATTTGTACAGAAGGAGAAATTTTTTAAATGATTTACCTAAATTCACCCTATTAGGACCCCACCCTTCTGCCCCAGGGGGCCTCATCCTCTATTTTAATAAAATTTAGTCCTCTTTGCCAAAAATAAGGCATTAGGACCGACGTCTTCATAAACATAGTTCACCGGACTTAAACCATGTCGATCTCTTTTGCGACACCAACTGCGTGCTAAGAAATGACACATACACTTTTTTGTAATTAAAGATTATTTATATACCCAGGCGCGTAGCTGCCACGTAAGCAAATAAGCAGTTGCATGCACATCAAAAATTCAAATATACTATTATATTTTCATTCATTTATTTATTTATTTTGTAGTTCGGAAAAGTGATTAAATGATGTGTGGTTCATTTAAAAAATATATTAAATTTAACTGTATAACCGACAGCCGACAATCAGTACGTATCCGGAAGTTTCAACCTATAGAAGAGAAATAAAGCTCCACATGGCATAGGTATGATACCTATGTCATGTGGAGCTTTATTTCTCTTCTTCTAGCTGTTGAGAGGAATTCCAACCCAAATCATGAAAGATGTTGCCATGCGAAACCACTATAGTATAATCCCCTGGTAATGTATTTTAGAAGATTATGAATAAGAAACAAAGGATATGTGATCTTGATCGATCACTGAATGTTAGATGATGTGCCATCTGATAACACTCGGTGAAGTTGTGAATGCGCTAGAGAAATGAAGTAAACATTAAAACTGAAAAGTACGATAATGTTTATAACATGTCTAGGTTTTTTTAAACAACATTAAATGTTAAGAAAGGACACTTCCTACGAAGTTGATGTATTTGTTATGGTCCTAGGTCTATGGTTTTACACATGTATACCGGTAAAATATGTTACTCGCACGTTTTACTACCTTTCTTGTTCATTCCCATAGCCACAATTATCTACTTTTGAGGCCGGTATGCCTCCCCACGCCTAGTTCAAGAGAAATTAAGCTCCAGTTACCTAGGTATATACATGAACTTTAAATAATATGCCATTTTGTAGTGCTGCTCATTCAGTTGTAAGTCTGGTGAGCTATTTTTTATGAAGACATCAGCCTTAATGCTTCGGATTACGTTAACCTGGTTATGTGCCTTTTTGATAGCTAATGTACAAGTTCCGATTTTTAGTAAGGGTCTGAGACTGTGAATATGACTTACCGGTGTTTGAAATTTCGGAAGACTATAATACATCTATTAGAGGGCTTGTTGAACCTTACAAAGCGATATTTACAAATTCCTCCTGTTTTTGACGATCTAATGCTAGTTCTTTAAGTTCAGTTTTCAGGACTGCGCTGGTGTTTTTGGATGCGTATACAGACTGCTGTTGAATGTTCCCGTTTGTTGCGTGTAATTTGATGTCATTCTGATGGGGGTTGTTGAAGTGCATGATTTTGGAAATGAATGTTTGCTGTAGAATGTTTAAAAATTATGTAAAGCTAGAACCATTTCATTCGCTAGGTAGAGACATGTTTCTAGTGGTGAACGTATCCTGTGTGATCTACAAGTGATTGGTGATGAGTACCGCTATGTATTTGAATGAATATTTTCCGTACTGAATGATGTAAATATATTCCCAGATATTATTTCCGGTTTCCAATTACTATTAGGGACCGGAGTTTTTTTTGTACAACTAATATGAAATTGTTGAAAAACCTTTGTAACTTTCTGAAATATGTTATGCAAACGTTTCAGTCTCCATGCTAACTTACCTATTGCAGTGCTGTCTACTGTTATTATGTATGTTGCTCGTGTATCGTCTGTATCAATCTGAGTGTTCAATACAGTTCTGTTCTGATAATTGGGACCATTTACCTGTGTGAAGTTTGACAGAATCGTCGAAATCTTCCTCGTCTGACTGTAGAATTCTAGTTTAATTTCGTAAATAAAGAGTTTTCTCAGAACCATTTGCGTGATTATTTTGTTATCCGTGTTTACAGTATCTCTATAGAGGATTCCAGCAGTGCAATTTTGATAAGACCTGTTAAGAAACCCCCTAATCATTTCAAAAGTTTCGGGACTTTTTTTTTACAGAAGTGATAAAATAAACTCTCCTGGCATGTTTAAAAATTCCTTTCGTATAATAAAAATGTTGAAGAAATTTTTATTTGTTTTCAAAAAGGATATATTGGAAAAAACTGGTGAGACATAAAAATCCCCTAGATTGAAAGTTTTGTCATAACCTAGGTACATGGTCACTGAACTATTGTCTTAATCTAACAATTGGATATCCAAGTCGGGATTTAATGTACGAAACCATCCAAGTGGTGAGCATATCAAAGCGAATTACAAGTTTAGTTTATTTACCGGTACAGGATCTATTAAGATCCTCCACATCACACTCAAAATCACAACACTAGCTGACATATGAATGTGACGTTTTTTGGATCATGAACGTATCTCAGACCTGCAATTATATAGAAGTTCCTGCTTCTTATTATATGCGTATTCAGTCTGTTTTCAAAAGTGTTTACAGTCAGTACTTAACACATTTTGCGGAAAATCGTTACATATTCTTACAATTCGCAAAGCAAAAATAATCTTGTGGAAATTTCATAAAAATTATTTATATATGAATATTTTAAATTTCATGAAAAATATGAATGTCACCCTTTTAGTTAATTTAGTTCTGTTTCTCTCACCTTTTCTGTTGCAAACTTAAATTTACATTCCAAGCATTGAGAACTGCTATACACTCACCACTTTCTATACGTTGCTATTTGATCACCGCGCATAGAACATTTGTGAGTGACACAAGTCATCATCCACAACTTTACGAAGAAATGAAGTGTTCATCATTTTCATTCAACATTGATTCATTCTGGCCACCACTACTAATTTGTAATATGTGTTCCAACTGTTAATATAACCTTAAAGAGTACAGAACTAATTTGTAATATGTGTTCCAACTGCTAATATAACCTGAAAGAGTACAGAATTCCCTTGCCTTCAGTGATCTACAAACAAGAATCGGCGCAGTATCAATTGAGACTTGGGTATTTATTTGAACGGAAAACGTTGAAATATTGTCATTTTTATTTCATAGTGGTTCATTCCGGTTTACATTTTTACTTCTAATTCTTCATACCAATCAATATACCTACCACTTTTATAAAGAATATAATATTTTCTTTTCTATACTGGTCTACGAATTAAAATCCATTAAGTATTAAGGAACATATGACTTTTTTAAATATAAAATTCATTTAAAATCTCTTCAAGCCTGAGTGTGTTCCGGGATTTGTCCTCGCCCACCAGTTAAGCGTTTTCGTGAGGCAGGATTAAAGATGGAAGTCGCCCCGAAAGATCGACGATTTTATTCCCTTCCCGAGAAAGAGAAACACGTGGATTTGTCTGGAAGTACCAAAACTGACAGTTTGATCAGATACATCTCTGAAAATATCATCGGCAATGACAAAGTGTTCAGTGGACCATATGGTTTAAGGAAAGGTGCTGCTTTAAGAACGTTTTTAAAATAGTAAATAATGCAATATCGGGTGATCAGTTTCTGAGCCCTTGGGTGAAAAAGGATCTTTCCATGCTTTTTATAATCTAATAAAATGGAAATAGCAGAAATGCTTCTTTTCTACTTGCATTTGAGGACGAATTGTTTTGACTTCTTTTTCACCTCATTTTCTTAAAAGTCCATGCAGATGTAACCTAAATGTTTACTCACGCTACTAACAAAAACAATGATGTCAATAAACTTGTTGTATCTGCTCTACCCAATGCACAAAATTCCACACAAGGCATAGAAACCTGTACAGCTCAGAAACTGATCTTACGATGATATGGTTGAAGTGCAATCAGTCATAGGATTATACAACAGTGTACAAAGGAATCTCAAAATGTGAGAACACATTGGGCATTCAAAGGAATTCCCAAACTTTTCAAGAAGTCTGTTTTGTTTTGTCATAAACAAAAACGAATGAATACTATCATGTGAATCTAGTCATAAATTAAGAGAGAAAGACGAAATATGGTAAAATAAATGTAAACGTATAAGAACATTCTGGATGATTAGTTTTGACAGGGTGTTAATTTAAACAGACCCTGGGATCAAATTTAGAAAAACATTATTGGCATGAATTATTTATCTAGCACTTAAACACACTTGTATTGTTCCACCAGTGCTAGCCATGGCCAACATTTTTCTAGTTATTCTTGTGTAAGATAAAAATATTTTTCTTATGACTGTGCTTTTTGTGTTTCAGTGACCTACTTGGATTACACTGCATCAGGAAGGTAATTGTACACCCTCAGCTCCTCTGTTTGCTATCATTTTTATCTAGTAATAAGCTAAGGTGATTGTTAACCCTCAGCTCCTCTGTTTACTGTCATTTTTATCTAGTAATAAGCTAAGGTAATTGTACACCTTCAGCTCCTCTGTTTACTATCATGTTTATCTAGTAATAGGCTCAGGTAATTGTACACCCTCGGCTCCTCTGTTTACTATCATGTTTATCTAGCAATAAGCTAAGGTGATTGTACACCCTCAGCTCCTCTGTTTGCTATCATTTTTATCTAGGAATAAGCTAAGGTAATTGTACACCCTCAGCCCCTCTGTTTACTATCATGTTTATATAGTAATAAGCTAAGGTAATTCCCCCCCCTCAGCTCCTCTGTTTACTATCATGTTTATCTAGTAATAGGCTCAGGTAATTGTACACCCTCGGCTCCTCTGTTTACTATCATGTTTATCTAGTAATAGGCTCAGGTAATTGTACACCCTCGGCTCCTCTGTTTACTATCATGTTTATCTAGTAATAGGCTCAGGTAATTGTACACCCTCGGCTCCTCTGTTTACTATCATGTTTATCTAGTAATAGGCTAAGGTAATTGTACACCCTCAGCTCCTCTGTTTACTATCATGTTTATCTAGCAATAAGCTAGGGTGATTGTAAACCCTCAGCTCCTCTGTTTACTGTCATTTTTATCTAGTAATAAGCTAAGGTAATTGTACACCTTCAGCTCCTCTGTTTACTATCATGTTTACTATCATGTTTATCTAGTAATAGGCTCAGGTAATTGTACCCCCTCGGCTCCTCTGTTTACTATCATGTTTATCTATTAATAGGTTAAGGTAATTGTACACCCTCAGCTCCTATGTTTACTATCATGTTTATATAGTAACAGGCTAAGGTAATTGTACACCCTCAGCTCCTATGTTTACTATCATGTTTATATAGTAATAAGCTAAGGTGATTGTACACCATCAGCTCCTCTGTTTACTATCATGTTTATCTAGTAATAGGCTCAGGTAATTGTACACCCTCGGCTCCTCTGTTTACTATCATGTTTATCTATTAATAAGTTAAGGTAATTGTACACCCTCAGCTCCTCTGTTTACTATCATGTTTATCTAGTAATAAGCTAAGGTGATTGTACACCCTCAGCTCCTCTGTTTACTATCATGTTTATCTAGTAATAAGCTAAGGTAATTGTACACCCTCAGCTCTTCTGTTTACTATCATTTTTATCTAGTAATAAGCTAAGGTGATTGTACACCCTCAGCTCCTCTGTGTCCTGTAATAAGCTAAGGTAATTGTAAACCCTCAGCTCCTCTGTTTACTATCATTTTTATCTAGTAATAAGCTAAGGTGATTGTACACCCTCAGCTCCTCTGTTTACTATCATGTTTATATAGTAATAGGCTAAGGTAATTGTACACCCACAGCTCCTCTGTTTACTATCATGTTTATATAGTAATAAGCTAAGGTGATTGTACACCCTCAGCTCCTCTGTTTCCAGTAATAAGCTAAAGTAATTGTACACCCTCAGCTCCTCTGTTTACTATCATGTTTATCTAGTAATAAGCTAAGGTAATTGGAATTCCCTCAGCTCCTCTGTTTACTATCATGTTTAAATAGTAATAAGCTAATTAAAGGTAATTGTACACCCTCAGCTCCTCTGTTTACTATCATGTTTATCTAGTAATAAGCTAAGGTAATTGTACACCCTCAGCTCCTCTGTTTACTATCATGTTTATCTAGTAATAAGCTAAGGTAATTGTACATCCTCAGCTCCTCTGTTAACTATCATGTTTATCTAGTAATAAGCTAAGGTAATTGTACAACCTCAGCTCCTCTGTTTACTATCATGTTTATCTAGTAATAAGCCCTTGTCTGTTATAAAGCCCATCCATGTAACAAATAGTTCATGACAAGTAAAAATGTTATTTCATTGTCAACAGCAAGCCTCTGAATATATATAGATATGTTGTCTCAATGGCAAGATAAAGATAATCTGTAAATGAATTTATTACCTAAGACAGAAAATATAGCTTGACTAGAAATCTGGTCCTAGCAGAAAGGTCATTGGGTGGTTAAATAGACATCCGGTCCCAGCAGAAAGGTCATTGGGTGGTTAAATAGACATCTGGTCCCAGCAGAAAGGTCATTGGGTGGTTATATAGACATCTGGTCCCAGCAGAAGGGTCATTGGGTGGTTAAATAGACATCTGGTCCCAGCAGAAAGGTCATTGGGTGGTTAAATAGACAAGTGGTCCCAGTAGAAAGGTCATTGGGTGGTTAAATAGACATCCGGTCCCAGCAGAAAGGTCATTGAGTGGTTAAATAGACAAGTGGTCCAAGTAGAAAGGGCATTGGGTGGTTAAATAGACATATGGTCCCAGCAGAAAGGGCATTGGGTGGTTAAATAGACATCTGGTCCCAGCAGAAAGGTCATTGGGGGGTTAAATAGACATCTGGTCCCAGCAGAAAGGGCATTGGGTGGTTAAATAGACATCTGGTCCCAGCAGAAAGGGCATTGTGTGGTTAAATAGACATCAGGTCCCAGCAGAAAGGTCATTGGGTGGTTAAATAGACATCTGGTCCTAACAAAAAGGTCATTGGGTGGTTAAATAGACAAGTGGTCCCAGTAGAAATGTCATTGGGTGGTTAAATAGACATCGGTCCCAGCAGAAAGGTCATTTGGTGGTTAAATAGACAAGTGGTCCCAGTAGAAAGGTCATTGGGTGGTTAAATAGACATCTGGTCCCAGCAGAAAGGGCATTGGGTGGTTAAATAGCCATCTGGTCCCAGCAGAAAGGGCATTGGGTGGTTAAATAGACATCTGATCCCAACAGAAAGGTCATTGGGTGGTTAAATAGACATCTGGTCCCAGCAGAAAGGGCATTGGGTGGTTAAATAGACATTTGGTCCCAGCAGAAAGGGCATTGGGTGGTTATAGTTAGTTTCGGTTTCTAGACTAGTTTTAGATTAATAAAGTTGAAGTTATTATGTACTTTTAAAGGAAGAAATACCACTGAGTTTTAACAACAATTCACAGTATTACATTCTAGTGTTATAGTTTGTTTTGTGTGTCTGCAGCATCTGCAGAAAGTTTTTTTTAACCAAATCTGAAAATTTACATGGCCGCCAGCAGACATCTTTAATTAAGTAAAAAGTCATTTGGGTTTTATGAAACTTTCTGCATATGCTAATATTAATTATCGTACCCAGGGGAATTCTGACACAAATTTTGAAATACATGAAGACGAACAGGACCAGATGACACATTCATGTTCATAGAACTCTTGATCCAGTTTCAAAGAGATAAAGAAATTTCAATCATAAACACCACCACTGAAAGTGCTGAAATGAAAAAAACAGAATCACAAAATGTATTTGAAGCCAAAATCCGGGGGATGACTCATAATAAAACCATTCTCATCTTTCATGCTACGTGTACATGTATATATGGGGCTTATTGGATTGAACTGAACAGCAGAAGGAAGGGGTTGAGAACGTCAATACTGATTGTACAAGACAAGCTAGCTCAGGCGGAACCCTTAGATTTAAAAATAGACCTGTTCTTTTCCGCATAATAAACATGCCATTGTGACACTTCAGTTTACTTATACATGTGCATCAGATTTATAATGTTTTACAATAGGAAATGCTTGTCAGTATTGCTTAAGTTTACTGAAAATCACCTGGGAACTATCATCAACAGGAGCCCATCTTTATCAGTTGGTACTCACCTTTAACTGGTAATGTAAGGTTTATATTCGAGTTGAATAGCAAATATTGTTTTATAAATTGTAGGGGATTGAAGTTCATTGAAGATTACATAGAGAATGAAGTATTACCTGACTATGGAAACACACACACCACTACAAGTATCACCTCTCTCCAGACAACTCTGTACAGACATGAGGCCAGGTACGACTTGTTTTACTATCACCTCATTTGTTTGATGGTTTATATGCAATAATACAGTTAAGTTGTTGGAACATAAACCATAAAGAATAAGCGTTTTTCACAAGAAATGAAATTTGATTTCCCAAGTGTAGCTCTTTTAAATGAAAGGCATTTGACAAAGAACTCCAGCAGATGTGTTAGTGGATACACCAGTGACAGAGGAGGGAACACAATGTTCACAGACAGATTGCGGGAGTGTATGCTTTTGGTTTGTTTATGTTTTACGTCCTATTAACAGCTACGTGCCAGGTTTTGGTGGTGGAGAAAAGCCGGAGTTCCCAGAGAAAAACCACGGACCTAAGACCAGTACGTACCTGGCGACTGCCCCATGTAGGTCTCGATTCCGCGACCAAGTGGTGGAGGGCTCCTAAGAAATTTATGCTGTAATTCTGTATAAAGAGTAATACATCGTGATATGCAGTTTATCCAGCTGAATCAGCATGTTTTGGTTTACAGGGACATTGTGCGGAATGCTGTACATGCCGGTGAGCATGACTCTGTGATATTCTGTGGGAATGGAACCACTGCCGCCATCCACAAACTCATTCATGCCCTAAACCTAAGGGAGCCTCCGGTACGATTATCCTAGAGTGTTTCTGTGTGTGTNGGTGGGGGAGGGGTGGGGAGGTGTTTAGAAACATTATCAACAGTCACTAATATACATACATTTTTTGAAAGAATTCACTTTAACTGTTAATACAATGCAAATTGAATATCAGTATAAGGTAATGTAAACTTAATGTAATCATGATACCTACACACGATGACGATCAGGTCATCTTAGCAGCAGCTTCTCTGTGTAGCTTATTTCTGAAGTATTTATGTTACCAATATTTCCATAGCATACCTTACTTTGATATCAACTTTAAACTTAATGCAGTTCATTCTGTTTTATTTTACGTATTATAACTTAATTAACAGTAAACATATACATATATATCTCATAGTGTCAATGAGCTTACAATTTAAATGGTGGCATTCCAGTGAAAGTCTTTTTTCACTTATATCTAATAATTTCTGTTTTAGGTTGTATTTGTCAGTCCATACGAACATCATTCCGTTCTGCTGCCATGGAAGGAACAAGGTGCTAAGGTACATCTTGGAAGTCCATTGTCCATCTGCTGTCTTCCATCAACATTTTACTTTCAACAATTTCTTCTGACCCACATTCAAGGTCACAGGGGTCAAATTTGTTTAAACCTTTTAAACAACTTCATAATGTTTGACCCCAGTGACCTTGAAAGAGGGTCAAGGTCACTAATTTGAATAAACATAGTAGCCTTTTATCTCGGTATGCTATTGACCAAATACCATCACCCTAGGCCGCTTGGTTGTTTTTATTTGATGCTTTGCCTTACACATTGATTTCAATTGAAAACTTGAAATTAAGTATATTATGGTTCAGAAAATGGTAAAATGTTGACTTTGTATCATTGAAAATTAAGTCCACCTGATGCCATTTAGTGGTAACATTACAGAATTGTTTTCTTTCAAATTTCATATTTTCAATAATAATGACTCGAGTTTGGTGTAGTTAATCACTCAGAATTGGTCACGATACTACATTATCATTTAGCAATTTGGACCTGCTGTTAACAACACTATTTCATTTATTGGATGTATGAACTGTACTGGTGAGCTTAGGCTGTACTGTGGCGTCCATCGTCCGTCGTCCGTCGTCTGTCTGTTAACAACACTATTTCATTTATTGGATGTATGAGCTGTACTGGTGAGCTTAGGCTGTACTGTGGCGTCCATCGTCCTCTGTCTGTCCTCTGTCTGTCCTCTGTCTGTTAACAACACTATTTCATTTATTGGATGTATGAGTTGTACTGATGAGCTTAGGCTGTACTGTGGCGTCCATCGTCCGTCGTCTGTCTGTTAACAACACTATTTCATTTATTGGATGTATGAGTTGTACTGGTGAGCTTAGGCTGTACTGTGGTGGCCATCGTCCGTCGTCTGTCCTCTGTCTGTTAACAACACTATTTCATTTATTGGATGTATGAGTTGTACTGGTGAGCTTAGGCTGTACTGTGGCGGCCATCGTCCGTCATCTGTCCTCTGTCTGTTAACAACACTATTTCATTTATTGGATGTATGAGTTGTACTGGTGAGCTTAGGCTGTACTGTGGCGTCCATCGTCCGTCGTCTGTCTGTTCACAACACTATTTCATTTATTGGATGTACGAGTTATACTGGTGAGCTTAGGCTGTACTGTGGCGTCCATCGTCCGTCGTCTGTCCTCTGTCTGTTGACAATTCCTTAAAATGACTACTTCTAAACCGCTGATTAGAATTTGATAATATTTGATTGGAAGCAGGGTGGGTTGAGGGTGGCGAGCTGTGGCAGGGGGGACGGGGTAATTTGGCCATATTGCTTCAAGCAACTTCTTCTCTGGAACTAACCATAAGTACATTTGATAGGCATACAGAGATAAAAACAGTCATGATGCTAGAATTTACACTGAGGTCTGCCCCACCCCTAGGGACTTTATTTCCAGACCATAACTTTGAAATGATTGAGATCCCCAATCAATAGCAATAAATACCATCGCTAGGAAAAAAGGTCCAGGTAAGTGATACAGACTCTCCTGGACTTCTTGTTATGAATTGTTAAAATTGTTAGTGTCAATTCCATAGTTATCCTTGTTTATGTCATTCCAGGTACTTAGGGTAAATTCCATAGCTATCCTTGTTTATGTCATTCCAGGTACTAAGGGTCAATTCTACAGCTATCCTTGTTTATGTCATTCCAGGTTCTTAGGGTCAATTTCACAGCTATCCTTGTTTATGTCATTCCAGGTACTTAGGGTCAATTTCACAGCTATCCTTGTTTATGTCATTTCAGGTACTTAGGATCAAAGAGGACCAACATGGCTGTGTGTGCCTGGCAGACCTTACAGCCAAACTACAGGTCTGTATTACTCTCTTAGTCTATAGGACTGGTAAGCCATGGCACCCTCCTGAATGATAAGATTTCAAAGAAACTTGGTATGTTGCATCCTACTGACTAGAAAAGTATTTTTGTCTTGCCGCCACAAAGTAGCGGAAGTGAGACTAAGGTGTTGCTTTTCTGGCGACAACAGCGGCAGCGTCAACATTATTTTTTGCGTTTAAGTTAGTTTCACTGAAAGTATAAGTACTAGACCACCTAAGCTTGGACCATAGATGCATTTTAGGTAGTACATCTCAACCCATGCATCAAATGCTAGATGCGGCCACCTTTCATGGTCCATTGACTTTGTCAGCATCTCCATCAACATTAAGTTTTTGTGTTTAAGTTAGTTTCTCTGAAACTATAAGTGCTACACCAACCAAACTTGACATGTACACTGATGGTCAAAGCAGGGCACAGACGAGACATATCAATCCGAATGGCTTGTTTACATTGTGTATAGTGTTAGGATTTTAGGGGGCTGAGGGACAGGGTAATAAGTGAAATTAGAACATTTAAGCCTTTAAAAACTACTTCTCCTGTAGGATTTCACAACTTTGTACCATTTTTGGTCTGAAACATAAATGGTGTAAAGCAATACTATTTTACAAAATGAAGATTGTGCATCACCATTGGTCAGAGGGACAGGGCCAAACATGTGAATTTAGGCCTTTTCTGCTTCAAAATCTTCTCCTCCTCAACATAATGGATTGTAGCCATATTTGGTTTGAAAAACAACTGTGGAAAGTTGATTATATTTTATATAAATGAAGATGGCGTGGTCACTTGGGCCAGAGGGGTTGGGACCCAATTGAAGAGTTTTGGGTGTAAAGATGTACTTTTTAACTTGGATCCACTGTCTATATGTATATTACCATTAACACACATAGGGGGCATGAAGAGATATAAACATCTTTGACAACAGGGTTGACCCTGGGGTCCCTGATTCATAACTGAGAGACGGTTAAAACCCCCACTCTATAACTCTATATACAACTGCTAGAAATGAAGACATGAAGACAATTATACTACCAGGATTGTCTCCGGGTGCTGTCCCACCCCTGGAGACTTACTACTTAAGTCACAACATGGAAACAATTGAAATACCTTCCCTAATACCACATATCCACACAATTGCTGTGCTTGAGGACACAGATATTCTTACTACCAGGAATGGCTCTGGGTTCTGGCCCTGCCCACAGGGACTTAGTCCCTGAGTCACAACATGGAAACATTTAAGATATCCACCTTATAACAATATATGAAATTGCTGTGCTTGAAAATATGAATACATCCATACTACCAATGTCCAGGCCGAGATTTTATCTGGGTCATAACATGGAATCAGTGACGATTCTCAACCTATAACCATATATGCTGTAGGCAAGAAAAGTTCTTGTCTACTAGGTCTACTAGGATTAGCCCAACCAATAGGGAATTAGTCCCTGGGTCATAACATGGAAACATTTTAAATCCCCACTGTAAACAGTTGTTGAGTATGCAGAGATAAATATGCATAGCTACCAGGATTTGACCCAAGGTCTTGCATATTTAGATAGTGACTTAGCCCCTGGGTTATAATTTTGAAACGGTGGAGATCCCCACCTCAAAACCATATATGCAGTGGCTGAGTATGAAAAGTCTAATTCAGACATGCAACAAGGATTGGCCCTCAGACCGTTCCAGACATGTAACCACATTTACAATCTCTGGGCATGTTAAGATGAACACATGTATGCTACCAGACTTTGCCTGAGGGTCTACTGCCACCCTATGGAATTAGTCCCTGGGTCATAACTTGGAAACATTTGAGATCCCCACTGGATCAATTTCTGAGCATGGAGATTTTAATACACATTTTTATATTACCAGGGTTGGCTCTGGGTTCTATGAAGCCCTATATCCGTGGAATATTATTTTCGATATTACTTTTAATCAAACACTGTAAAAATTGTTGCTTAAATATCGTTTTATGTCGATGAAACTTGATATTCATGCACGTTATACAGGCTTATTCAAGTTCGAAGTGGAGCAGAATCTGAGCATAATTAATTAGCATACTGTGCTCTGATTGCTTGACGGTTTCTGTACAATATGACCTGATTCTGATGGAACTTAGTCAATATTTATATTATACAATGACAAAGGCTATGCTTAAAGGTGAGCAAAACCTGCACATAGTTTATTGGCATACTGCTATCTGATTGGTCGACGGTTTCCGCACAGTAACTGAATTGTTAAATATGGCGGTATTCTGATGTGACTTAGTGAACTCTGTTATTGATGAATAAACAATAGATATATCTCTGATTTTAATATTAATGGTGTAAGATGGTTTGATTATTGGCATTTTCAATTTCTATTTTCTTTATTGGCATTTTCAATTTCTATTTTCATGGGTTGAAGTATATACAAAAGGAGACATATGAAAATCAATTTTTAAGGGTCATGCATGATACCAGAATATGAAATGTGTTAAATACATTGAGAGATCTAGGGTTCAGCTGATTGTATCACCCTCGGCCTGAATGTCCCGTGTTCTGATCCTTGTCACTATTATTTAAGAAGTACTGGAAGGTTATTCCTAAAATTTCATGTTTATTTATAGCAATGGAAGACAAGTGGCCGACAGTTGATTGGTTGTCTGAGTGCTGCGTCAAACATCACAGGGATGCTGGTCGATGTAGATGCAGTAACAGTTTGTCTTCATCGTCATGGTGCTTTAGCTTTCTGGGACTACGCTACAGCAGCTCCTTATGTCAGGATAGACATGAACCCAGTCAATACCAGGTAGTACATCTGTCACCACTTACTGTGTTAAT